CGCAGAGTCAGGAGTCATGCGGTCCCACAGAAGCTCACGCAGAGAAAACGCAGGATCATCACGATCCAACGGCCAATAACATCCTGATCCAAAAAAAAGGCAGCAACATATCTTGTGCGCACGATAACCCGGTGTAACCCTGGCGCGCACTTTAGCTACTCCTTGCTACAAAATAGATATCGTCCTCCATGGATGCGCTTTGCTCCTCCTTCCTGAACCCCGCCTCCCCCCACCCCCGCCTTTTGGATCTTTCCATATTTTTTGTTTGAAATTTTCAATTCAAATTTCGCACACTTTCTCGGCTTATTTCTCTTTCTCATTTCGAAGGTACATAATTTTCTATCTCAATTTCCCTTTATTATTTTCTCGTCAATCCGTCGATTTGCTCTCGGAGAAAATCAAATTTGCTGCTCACCGTCGTCACAGATCCATGGTAATCATGAACATTTCGTTTTTAGCTTCAGGTTGGGGGTTAGCTATTATTGTTCAAGCCCTAAATTGAAGTTAATGGATGGATACTGCGCTTTAATTTGATCAAATGGTGATTGAACTTGAATGATCGTTCCGACCTGCTAGATAGACATTGTTTCATCTCAGAGATGGTCATGAAGCATCGTCAATATGTAGACTTTCACTGATTTGGAGATTGTAGCTGTACACAAGAGATCGGTTCTCAAGTAAGTTCGTTTTAATGTAATTGAATTATTACTAAATTGTTCCTTCAATTGAACGTTTTATCGTTTGCTCATGTCGCTGTTCATATCGCTATCTATGCAAGGCAAGTTTGAGTACAATGGCCTAATTTTTGTGCGAGTAATGCGCGAATTAGTGTGTTAAATTTGCTTAGCATTGTGTAGAACTCGAAGACAGAATGTAGTGTACTTGACGTTGTTATAGCATATATATAAGTATAACCATTTAAGTTTTGATGTATTTAGATTGTCATACACACATCTTTTATATTCTGAGGTGTATTAATGGTTATGAGACAAACGATGTGGTTATTTTAGGAGCGTAAATGGTTTATGTGCTTTTAAAGATGGGAATGTAACCATTACATATTGATACTTAAAGGAACCTCGAAGGAGGAATGGTTCGTCCTTGTCCATCATAATTTCCAAAAATGCCCTAGTCATTTTTCTATTTTGTTTCAGTCAGATGTCTTAAGATTTTCTTTATGGAGTTTTTGTGGTGTTATTTTCTGAAATTGCTCATTATTGCTTATAATACATGTCATTCCATGTCTTTGATAATTGTCACTATCATTTTTGCTCCTCTAATGCACTGAAATTTGTTACTTTTCATAATCAATCGAAATGTAAAATATGAACTGAATTTTGAGTGCATCAATGGTTTATATGCTTTTAATGATGGGAACACACGAGCAAATAAAAACATTGCATAGCGTTACTTAGAAGGTACCTCAATGGAGGCACGGTTCACCAATGGGACTTTGGTCCAATGGTACTCCTTATCTTGTAAAGGCTTTGTCTTGTTGAGATCAAAGATTCAAGTCCCCCTTTCCCCTCCCCTCCCAAAAAAAAAAAAAAATTGGAGGCACGGTTCATCCTCAACCATCATATATTCAAACGTCTTAAAATTTTTTAGGGTGTGCTTACGTTTTTTGTTTCTAAACTTACTCATTATTGCTTATAATGTACGTCCCTTCCAAGTCTTTGACAACTGTCACTATAGTTTTGCTCTTTTAGTGCACTGCAAGTTTGTTTACTTGTCACACTTTTATCGAATGCAAAAAAACTAACTGAAAAGTGCATGTCGTTCACTGCATAAAAGAAGATTATGACTTTACCAGTTCTAGCCACTAGTTAATCTTTAAGATTATTTTCTGATATTGTATAAGATGGTTGCTATTTCCCGTTCAGTTGCTGAGGAAATCAACAGTGAGGAAGTAAAAGCAAACTGATGTAGACAGCCCTTTTCTGTAGCTACCTAATGAAGTTCTGCATGGAAGTTTTACTTGCAATAATATAATAATAATTATTGCATCCAGATTTAATAGAGCTATATTTTTATTAGGGCACACCAAGTAATATGGTGAGTTCATTTGCCATTGTTGAACATTTATAGTTCTCTCAATCAGCTCATGCGTTTTCTCCTTCTTCATATGGACTCTTGACATATGAATAGATTCAAGAAAATAGGTGGTGCCGCACCTTTGTTACAGTTTTTGACTGCTTTTACTGGGCTATTAATTCTTACTGTGATTGAACTTTTAATCTGCAGTTGCTGCATCTGAAGTTTCATTTACCTGTGGTAAAGAATGCCTGAGTTAACAGGTGCAGTGAAAGAAACTTCTGAAACTGGTACAGATTTCTCTCCAGATGACAGTGGCACTATTGAGGAAATGCCTGAGGACACGATTTTGTCACGCCAGACTTCGGTGAATCTTGTCCCGTTCATTGGCCAGAGATTTGTCTCACAGGACGCTGCCTACGAATTTTATTGTAGCTTTGCAAAGCAATGTGGCTTCTCTATCAGACGTCATCGTACCCGAGGAAAAGATGGTGTTGGTAGGGGAATTACAAGAAGGGATTTCACATGCCACCGAGGTGGCTATCCACAGCTAAAACCATCAGAGGATGGAAAGCTACAAAGGAATCGAAAATCATCTCGTTGTGGATGTCAAGCTTATATGCGGATTGTTAAAAAAGCAGATTTTGATGTTCCAGAGTGGCGTATCACAGGTTTTAGCAACATCCACAATCATGAACTCTTGAAGTCAAATGAGGTACATCTGCTACCTGCTTACTGCACGATGTCTGCAGATGACAAAAGTCGAATTTGCATGTTTGCAAAAGCTGGGATGTCAGTACGACAAATGCTAAGGTTAATGGAGCTTGAGAAGGGTGTTAAGCTAGGTTGTTTACCATTCACAGAAATTGAAGTGAGAAACTTGCTTCAATCTTTCCGAAATGTGGACCGCGATAGTGATGCTATTGAGCTTCTTGAAATGTGCAAGGAAAAGAAGGACAAAGATCCCAACTTCAAATACAACTATAAGATAGATGCTAATAACAGGTTGGAGCATATTGCCTGGTCATATGCTTCATCCATTAGGTCATATGAGGCGTTTGGGGATGCCATAGTCTTTGATACTACTCACCGCTTGGATGCTTATGACATGCTTCTAGGAATTTGGATTGGAGTGGACAATCATGGATTAAATTGTTTTTTCGGTTGTGTGCTTCTTCAGGATGAAAATATGCATTCTTTCTCTTGGGCATTAAAGGTGAGAGGCGTATGAGCATTCACTATGGGTCTCAAAATCTTCTCTTACTCTGAATTTTCACATTGTGTACATGCCTCTTAGAAATTATTTTAGACCTTTTACCCTACTGAGAGCCTCACCTCTTTTCTGGGGATATCTTATGTTGCACCTTGGCATGCCTTGTGTAAGAAACAAAGAAAATCTCAAACGGCTTGCCTAGCTAAATCCTAATGAAGTTTGTGAGTAGGAAGGAGTAGGTCATATCCTATCCTAAGATGTATTTTGTTCATGAATCATGAACTAACAGAGTTAAATTCATTTGGTGTGATTGGGTACTTTTCCATTTGCTTTTGTTAACTATTCGATAGTTATGTTTGGTTTGCAGACGATTGTCTAAATCTACTACTTGGTCATTTTTAACATTCAGGATTTGAAAACTACAAGATTGATTGCATCAGACACTTATATTTGTGGGTTTGTGTTATATATGTGTGTGCTGTAATTTTTTCTTTCCAGATCTTTATCTGAACAACTTGATGAATATAATTCGAAGCACAAAACCCTCAATCCCACTCCCCGCTCGATAAATATATACCAATGGCATGATATCTCTGAGTTCCTGTTTCACCATTTATCTGTTTTTAAAACCTATCGAGGTCGTGATCCGAGTCGGTTCATAGGATGGCATGCAACGGTTCCATCGTATGCTTAGTCCCTTTGTAACACTCTTTTTGCAACCAATTGTTTTTTATTTATTTGTTTGTTTTATATTTTATGGCAGACATTCTTGGGCTTCATGAACGGAAAGGCTCCAGGAACAATTTCAACAGACCAAAACATGTGGCTCAAGGAAGCAATAGCTATTGAAATGCCAAGGACCAAACATGCTTTTTGCATTTGGCAAATCATTTCAAAGTTTTCTGATTGGTTTTCTTTACTACTTGGGTCCCAATATGATAGATGGAAAGCTGAATTTCATCGGCTTTATAACTTGTATATGGCAGAGGAATTTGAAGTGGGATGGAAAGACATGGTTGATACATATGGACTACATGGAAATAAGCATATCGTCAGCTTGTATGCCTTGCGTACATTTTGGGCACTACCTTTTTTGAGATCTTACTTCTTTGCAGGAATGACGAGTACATTTCAATCAGAGTCAATAAATGCTTATATCCAATGCTTTTTGAGTGCACAATCTGTACTTGATAATTTTGTTGAGGAGGTATGAAAGTCTTGCTTGCTCATTATTTCTTGATGTATTTTGTTTGTTTTACATTGTTACAAGTGCCTGTTTTCAGGTGGTTGCAGTTGTAGATGCTAAAGTCCAACCCGGAACAAACCAAAAGATGCAACGGAAGGTCCAGAAAGTCTCTCTCAAAACAGGCTCACCAATTGAGGCGCATGCTGCTAACGTTCTTACACCATATGCCTTCTGCAAACTACAGGAGGAACTTGTGTTGGCACCACAATATGCATCACTGATGGTAGATGAAAGCTACTTTATTGTGAGACACCATACAGAAATGGATGGAGGTTGCAAAGTACTATGGGCTCCTCATGATGAGTTCATTAGCTGTAGCTGCCACCACTTTGAGTTTTCAGGCATCCTCTGTAGACATGTCCTTCGTGTTCTATCAACAAACAATTGTTTTCACATTCCTGACCAGTATCTACCCATCCGTTGGCGTGATATCACTTCATCTTTGACAAAGCTGGTCCAATCTTCTACTTCACAGGATCAGTCAGGGAAAGTCCAGTTATTGCAATCCATGGTTTCTACACTGATTACCGAATCAATTGAGACAGAGGAACGCCTTGACGTTGCTTGTGATCAAATTGCTTTGGCTTTGACTCGTGTCAAGGAATTTCCTGGGCCATCATTGCACGGTGGTAATGATATTGCGTATGATAGTCCGTCTGACTCATTGATTCTTCCAGAAGTTGAAGACTCTGATAGCATTGTGCAAAGTTTCACTAGGAATTCTCATGAGACTCTAGCTTTAGGAAAGCTGAAAGAGAGAAGATCAAGAGATGGGGAAGATATGTACAGGAAGAGAAGGCGTTGCTCTGTGCCTTGCTGTGGGCAGTTTGGACATGATGCTAATGATTGCCCCATGATGGGAGGTGACGTTTTGAATGGGGATGGGCTAGGTTTTTATAGGTAACTCAACTGCTGGGTGAGGCTAGATGTATGAAGCTCGTTGTCCATGTCCATGCACCCATGTAAGAAAACTTCCATCGTCACTAATGCAATCCCCCCCCCCCTCTCCGCTCCTCTTTTTTTTTTTTATCATTTAGCTCATTTTCTGAATGGACGTCACAAACAAACTCAGAACACATCTGGGATATCTTATAGTTTGTCTCCATCCATTCATGACAGCAGAACAGTTATGATTGCCTGGACTTAAGGGGAAATACTTACCTGTAGAACCTGTGGTCATCTTGTAGATCATGACTGGCTGATGAAACCACATCTGTACTGGAAACAAAAAAATGAGTTTTTCATTAATGTCTTTTGCAAGTAGGTGTGAGTGCTTGATGCGTGTTATGTTGGATAGAATTTGTTGTACATATTGCAGTCTTGTGACTTATTGTTGGTAGGTTTAAGCAACCGTTTGATTGTTTCCAGTAAGAAATGGTGGAAAGAAGTAAATAGGTTTAGTGTGATCCGATGTTATTTTGATAAAGCTACTTAATGCAATATATGCATCCTAGAGAAGAAGCATTCAGATTGAATTTAAAAAACAGGTGTCCTATCAGAGTAAGAAAATAATTTGTATTTATCTACCTTAGTTTGTGGAATAGGTTTGTTTGTTCTGATTAATGGACTAAGGCCACTCATTTGTATTTAGATTCTATGTTTGGATTTGTTATGGCTGTTCTTGGCATCTCTATTGGCTGCTAAAATGAGAGGCAAAATGATAGTTGAATGCTGGTACCTTCAGCTAAGTTGGAAGTGGAGCTATGAAGCCATCAAATTCACTGGAATTGTAATTGTTCTTTAACCTGAGGTGTGTAGTTGTCACTTGATTACCATGTTTCTGCCAACCCTTTCTTTGGTGCATAACTCTTTCACCGTTGTGTATTTGCCTTTTATATCATGGTATGATTGCATATACCTTAGAATTTAACTGCCACATTCATTTGGCAGTGCGTCTCCTTTTATGAAGCATCATAGTTTTAAACAGCCCCAGTGATAATGATGTAACATCGTGATACTACACTGACAATGTTGTTTAACTTTTTGAGATGGTTGTTAGGAAGATATTCAAGTTCCAGGGAATGCAGAATTAGCAGGTATGGATCATATTAAGGTACTTCGCAGTCTTCTTAGGCCTCATTTTATAGCATGTCAAGTAGTGATTGTGGTTGTGTGCAGGAAATGACTGATGACTTTGTAATTTGCATCAAACAGCTGGACTGGTTGCTTGTATATTGTCATGACATTCAAACTTTCGTATACTGCAAATATCTATTCCTACGCATTTTCTTCTCTAGTTATGACTTCTCCATGAGAATGTGTATTGCTTTCACTTGTTTGCTTGCCATGATTTCTCCATCAGGATGCATTTCTGTTTATCTGGATGGACACAAAGATGTTATGATTCTCTGCCGAATGTAAAGAAGCTAATCAAAGACATCGTAAACTATTTAATGTTTCTAATGATGAGGCTTTGTGTGATTGAGATAGTATATATGGGCACGTATTGATCATACACACCTGTATTATAGGGTTTAGGGTGGATATTCAGTCATTTTGCTTCTTGGTGGCCTGCTGATCTTTCATTGGTTTGATAGCGCTTAGGGCTTCAAAAATCTAAATCTTCATCTGAAAACAACCATCCTCTCCATATATCCCTCAACCTTCATTCCTTTGCTTTTCTTCCAAGATCTTTCGCAATCTGTCTTTCTAGCTTCTGACCTACTCCACTCTATAGATCTGGAAGGCAATGTTCTTTCTCGGTTGTATATCAGTGTTCTATTTCCCGGCGTCTTTAATAGACTGTGTGGCAAATCCTGGCTTCAACATAGCTCACGGGTGGTTTGTGGATGTCAATGTAAAAACTTGAAATGACAAGATAATGGGGACTTGGGAACAAACCAGCAGACAGAATATTTATTTACAGCCAGAAACCTTGTAGTTCGAAGGTTTTATCATAGTCTCTAAGCTGCAATCAGTTTTTGTGTTTGCGTGGCTGGCACATAGAAATTCTTGGGTTTTAGCATTGATTCTACTTAAAACTTCCTATTCCTGCTCTTCCTGGATCAATCGTATCATTGTGCAGATTATTTTTCAATTGTTTCTTGGGTCCAAAATCTACACTGTATCCTTTCTGTTCAGGTCAATGAGATATTTTGCCCTCGCAATTCCAAGACATTACTAATGTTTGTTGCACAACTTTCACTGCATTTTTATCCATTGCCCTTCTGTTTATTGTACCTGCATTTGTCAGCCTGGTCATTGAAAGGTCATAGGAATGCCAAGCATTTTACGTGTTCGAACCTTCAACGAAAGAGTACTTGTACCTGAAACCGACACAGGTGGGTAGGTAGAGAATACCTAAGACACAAGACAACTCTCTCAAAGAAACTCAATAAAATAGCCTGTAACTTCAGGAGAAGGGGTTCCTCCTCACAAAGAGGATCGTAGTGACCTGGCCCGGGTGACTATTGACTAAAAACACAGGTGATGCCCCTAACGGTTCGATTGAAAACCATTTTTCTTTCGCTTAATCTATTTTTATTAATTTGGATGGTGGATAGAGTTCATTTTTTTCATTTGCAGAAAACAGTTGGCTCCTTCTTTATACAAACCTCTTTGTCACAGGAGCCAATGCATGTATATAGTGTTGGAAGCTTCAGTATGTGTGAGAAAATTATTGTTCGCAAATGTGTTCATGCTCGACTAGGCAGACACGTCAAAAGCATGTATGTATGGCTCTCCTATCATTTTCAGACAGATCTAGCATTCACTTTAATTATGCAAAATAAGTTTGCTGGTTCCATTTTCTCTCTCTTCCCTGATTTAGCACTTTGAAATGGCATATATTCTTGTCTTGATGGTGAAGGTTTCATAGTTCTAAGATCTGATCTAATGATGCTCAGTAATAGAATTACAGATCCATGGCAATTTATGTGATTGTTAGGAAGATGACATAATCTTGGCGCATTTTTGACATCCTACACTTTGACAAACACAACATACTTCGTTTAATTTTCTGTTTCATCAGCCAATGAAACTCTGCTTAGCCTACTCTTAAGCATTCTGACATCATTGGTTTTAACCTTTCTGCTCCCACGACCACGGCTTGAACCATAAACTGCTCTTCGTGCAATCGCTTTCCCCAAGTAGTATTCAGCTCTTTCTTTGCTGGTGGGCAATCTTTCAGCAGAATTGTCTTGGTTGCTGCCATTGTAGGTGCCTGAACCCTCAGCGACCGACTTTTCGGTAGCCATTTTTACTCACATGTAAGTGTTGGTAGTTGTTTAAAGGGAGCGAGAATGCTAAGATGGGTAGAAGACTTGTAAATGACTGGATTTATATGGCTTGCATAAAGTAAGTTTTATGGGCTAAAAAACCATTTGGAGGTTACGTCAGCCAATTGTGGTGGGATTAAAAGATAGGATTGAGGAGTTTTGAAGCAAAGTTTCCTGTGGCCGAAAGGGCACTCCTTTGCTAAAACTGTTTACGAATCAGAAGATATACATAATCTTTTTTGACAAGATATTGATTATACTAAAGCAAGTGGTTCGAGTTTATGAAGGCCCTTACAAACCCTTATCATTATTGTTTTACTGATTAGTGGATTTTTACTGTTTTGTCATTAGTACTTTTGAAGGAGTAGTTCATTTTGAGTAAAATATTTGTTTCAAAATCCTAAGTGTAGGTCAAAAGGTATTAGTAACTAGTGGTAACATGGACGAGTTGTATATTCAGATATCTTAAGTTTAAAATTTGACAATCCTTGAGGCCAAGCTATAAAGGATTTATTCTCGTGAATATCCTTGTTCTAGTGTGGATAACCCACTTTTGACCGAATTGGGGAGAGGATTAATCGAAGTGAATGTAAATTTAACCTAAATATCTCTAATTGTTGAACAAAAATATATATACATATATATATTTGTTGCTAAGATGGCAACACGTCATTATTAATATATGATATTACTAAATGAGTAATGGTATTAATGAAATTTTTAGTTAAATTATTACACTGTCACTACACTAAGCGGTTATTAAAAATGACTTATTTATTGGAACTCCAAATTAGTTTAATTTTTAAAATCCTAATAGCATTAGCCTTGCTAAATAATGGCAAACGACCACATATGACAAGTGAGTCCCACTGAACTCAGTAACCACTAATATAACTAGTAACTACCGCTTTAGATTAGTCAGTAAGATTATATAATTGTTTATCCTTATTGATCATGTATTAACGATGACGTGTGACCAATATATGTCATTCTGGTGTCTTACCTGAGAAAGGGCGTGTCGACAATTATGAGATGGAATCAAGTTGAAATAGCACATTGGCTTTAGAAGTTATTTTACGTGATCTCAAACGAGCTTCCCTGAGTTTTAGGAGAAATGAAGTCCAATTATCTTTATTTCTATGTAATCCGCGATATGCTCATTAACTAATAAAGCCAAGCTAATGCAAAAATTGTACTTGGTTAATATAAGCTTGAGAATGTGTTTAACCTTTTTAGTGATTTACCTCATGAGTTGAACCCAAGCGGATTTGTGACTCGCTATCATCCAACATTCACACGAGCATATTTAATGGCATAGAGAATTCAAATGATCTTACTAGTCAGTGTGAACTGAGTTTCTCTTTTGAATGAAAACAAGTGTACCTTTTCCACTTTGAACCACCACTATACGACCATAGAAGCACTTTTTCCTATTCAAGAGAATCGATTCCTTATCTCTACTCTCAACACAACCAATCTATTCTTTACATGCCCGAAAAACATACACACGCATGCACGCAGAGTTCAAAGAGAAAGAGACTTCAAACAGAAAAACAAATAAAGCCAACCGGGAAAGGAGAACATCCAAGAGGAATCGCACTATACTTTGCCGCTGCTTATACCAAAAGTCAGGGTATTGCCATATTTTCATTACCTACTTATCTTTGTACGATATGCCACTAGAATTAAATTCCAAATAGTACAGCAATACAAAATGAATCAAATTCAAAGAACACGGAGAGAAAACCATTACCCGCCTGAGCCTTGCATCTTCGTTGCTGCTGTACAGACTGCAGGACAAACCAGGGAAGAAGAGTAAGTTTATAGTTAATGACTATAGGTCTGAGTAAATTTTTGATGAAGTCATTACACATATCCAGTTACTGTGATAATATCAAGTAATCCAACTAAAATCTGACCATTTCCCAAGATTTCTCAGATTGTTGATCTTTCACTACTTGAACNGTCTGAGTAAATTTTTGATGAAGTCATTACACATATCCAGTTACTGTGATAATATCAAGTAATCCAACTAAAATCTGACCATTTCCCAAGATTTCTCAGATTGTTGATCTTTCACTACTTGAACCAAAAACTGCAGTAAGGCTCTGGGAAGAAAGAACACTATGCCAATGTCTAGAGATGTCTCATTATTCACATGGTGAGCACAAGGGTACATGTCAGCAACCTTATAGCCGCATATAGATGCGTTTCATGTGGAGGAATCCAGAAACAAGACCCCAAAATAAAATCTCAAGCAATACAAAAGCCAAGGTACCCCACTTCTTCNAGCCGCATATAGATTCGTTTCATGTGGAGGAATCCAGAAACAAGACCCCAAAATAAAATCTCAAGCAATACAAAAGCCAAGGTACCCCACTTCTTTGATTGAAGGATGGCCTGCAATAGTGATTCAGTGCCGTCAACCTGCAAGCCATGTTTTGTTAAAAGTTAGGCCATCAACACATTATATGCCTAATTAACTACAAAGGCATGCCAAATGAAACAAAAAAAACTAAAAGCATCTATATTATTGGCTCCATATTCTAAACTGAGCAAAAATGGCAAGTCATCCTTAGACAGAGAAAGGAAATATCGTTCAATCCAAAAAAGTCTAGTTTAATCGTTCATCTCCTTACTAAAACAAAAGGTACAGTCTAATCCAAATAAAAGTTAAATAATTAAATGTTCTCATTTTAAGAGGATGTCTATATTAAGCGTACAGCTTAACAATCTTTAGTTTTTCCTTGCCAAATGAATATTAGTTTCTTTTTC